AGCACTTCAACCACTATGAAAGTGACAAGTGTACAGAAACCAAAAGAACCGTCTCACCCGGTTGAGACTTCTCAGCTTCTCTTTCCTCATTTTCTTCTATTTTATTATTTTTTAATAGTATGAGACGGTGACCAGTTTATCGATAATCATGCTCTAAAATTCTTTTAGTTTTAGCAAGATCATCGACGTGGTAATTGATTAGGAGCCTATTAATATCCATAATTTAGCTATTGCTAAAAAAATAAGAATGTTTATTTTTTAGATCTTTATATATTTATAAGAATATAAGATCAGTAACATAACGTGATAGAACGCTTTTAGTTTTGTTCATGTTGATGTTGCAGTAATCTTGAACGAGGGTGTCTCTGGACCACCTATGTCAAGATATGTTCGAGTGTAATTTTTAAGTTTTTAATAATCGGTCCATTACAAAAAAAAAGAAAGATTATAAGATCAGTAACATAACGTGATAGAACATGTAATAATTGGTGCCCACAAATCTACAATATTATGAAGCTTTACACGTGTACCCTGGTGCAGGAGACTGTTACAAAATACGAGGCTAATCATATGAATACTTTGTGATATGAATCTACAAAATAATCAAAACCTTTATACACGTGTAATAATTCATTGAAACAAAAAAAATAGTACTCGAACTGTCAACTGAGTCACAGAGTAACCAATTAATTATTAGAACATTTACTTTTGTTGGTAAATTTAAACATTAAGTCTCACTTGTTACAAGATGTCTCATATTATAGGGCGAGCTTGAAGTTTATTAAAGAGTGACAAAGAATACTTTCTCAAATGTCGAATATTTCTCTATGGTGTTTAATCTTCTCCATGGTGTTTAATATTTTGGTTTTGTCTAGATTGATTTCTAGGAACCCTTATGATTGGTAATAAATATAGAAGTTAAAAAGATCATTGCACGATTATAAGAATCAGTCGATCAGAAACAAAGGCATGTGAAATCTCCCAAGCAAATCAACTCAAAACCCGTGCACCCATTATACGTGTCGTAATATGAGAAGCCATGCAGAGAGAAATTACATATAAAAAAATTATTTTTATTTTCCTGTAAAAAATATATTTTCGTAAGACACAAACTACACAAGATGATTGGATAATAGAAGGGTGTATATAATATGGTTGAGGAAGATCTGGATCTCGTTACCTACCGAGACAAGTTTTAAGACCTTCAATATTTTAAAATTTAAATAATCGAAAAAGTCCAATTGATAATGTGGCATAACCGGAGGCATCACAAACGATGACTCATTAGGCTCATCTCTGTGGCCAAATAATTTGACCAATATAATAGTCCGACAGCTCAGAGAGTATACAGATTTGCCAGTAATAATCGGACCAATCAAATTTAAAAATTCCAATTATTGTTGAAGTTTTGTTGGTTGATAGGCTAAAACCATATGCTATATATATAAGCAAGTGAAGAGCAAGTTGAATAAAGCAGATCAATCAAATAAGAAAGAAACAAACCTCGA